TTGTTGTTTGGCGGGCCGGGCTGGATTCGAACCCGCCACCTTGGGTGTACGTGGCTGGCACCTTAGCCACTTGAGCCACAGGCGCTGAGCCTGAGACTGCAGTTCTAATAAGCTCCCAGGAGATGCTGCTGCTGCTGCTTGTGGACCACATTTTGAACAGCAAGGCCTAGATTACTTGCACCAGCATCACCAGGAGTGGGGCCAGGAGTGGGTCATTTTAAAAGCTTCCCTCCTGATTTTAATGCACAGCCTGGATGAAACCCGCAAGAAGAAACACCAGGGAAGAGTGACTTGGGCTTGAGTTTGGGTACAAGTATTTAATAAATGCATGGCTTGAGACAGGCTTTCTCCCATCTGACACGCAATTTCCTTATCTGCAAAAAGAGGGGAGGTGTAACAACACCCTACAGGGACTGTTGAGTGGAACAGAAATAATGTGTATGGATGAAGTACGTGGGCAGAACTGGACCACTGGGCAGCTACTGCTATTATGGCCACCCCTGATGAAGGCTAACATGTCCTTACCACAACTAGGTGATGCCATGCTGGAGTCGACTGAAGATAAAGGTTAAGATAGTCCCACCCTTAAATCTGAAGTGAGGATATCAGTAAATAGGAAGCAAGGCTGTCAGAGAGGGGGAGTATGGGATAGTGGTTAGATCCCTGGATGAGGACACAAGACGAGGTACCACCGCACATGCACCACGTGGCCTTGGGCATGTTGCTTCTCCAGCTAAGGCTCAGCTGTCTCTCGGGTACACTCAGATCTGGTCCTCCCAGGCTCACCACTTTCAGCATCAAAGAAGCCACCAGGTAGATAAGGGCATGGCCTTGTCTGCCTTGGTTCAGTTCCGAGGGCAGTGCCAGCTGGTGTGTACTTCCAGTCCTCACTCCCATCCTCTTGTGGTACTTACTCATCCTTCTGGTGGCAGCATCTAGCCCAGGACCTGACATGCGGGACAGCAAGGCAAAGCTGATTGTGCATTTTACCAGGTGAGTAGAGGAGAATGAGGCCCAGGAAATAGACATGCCCAGATCCTACTTAGTTTTCTTCGGGGTCTCAGACCTGAGCTCTCCTCTGTGCCTGTGCATAGCCATGGTGCCTGATGGCTCCCAGAAGGCTGGCCTGGGCTCAGCAGGCTGCCCTGAAAAGGCTGGGAGATTCACAGCACCAAAGTGCACCCAAAACCCTGGCTGTATATGGCCCATTTGGAGGCTTCTTGATAACACAGATTGTTCCTTGGCAGAGAAGGCAGAGGTTCTACCAGTCATCCAGAATGCTTTTCGTAATCATTGTCACCTGTCCCTCCCCAAACACCTCCTAGGTTGCCTGAAAGAGAGCAGGAGCAGCCCCCTTTAGTAGCCATCACCAGCTGCCACACACAGCCTTACCTTTTGCGAACGATGTTAATGTTTTTCTCTAGCAAGTCATAGCGGATATACTCACTGGGCTCAAAGTGGCTCATGGCCACCTTGGCCCGTTGGCACAGGACTGAGGCCACATGATACTGCCGCACACCCAGGGCTTTCTGCAAGAGAAAGAACAGTAACTGTCAACGCGGTACATATGAAGAGTCCATCTTTTTCACCAAAAGCGAGGCTAACTTGGTGCAGTAAAAAAAAAAAAAAAAAGTAAGGTATTAAAATGTCAAGCACTATTCGGTGCCCACAGCCTCAGTTTCCTCATCTGCAGCACAGGGATGACACAGCAGCCATGAAAAACATAGCCTGGGGTAGGAGAAAATGTGCAAACGCAGAATTGCTGGGATCAAAGTCAAGTTCTATCATGTAAGTTGTATAAATGTAAGAAAATCCCCTCCCATTGTCTAAGTTCCAGAGAAGACAAGAAATAAGGATATCACCAGCTCTAGTGACCATACACAGGTACTGGGAAGGTTAAATGTGTCATGAGCCGCCTGAATGAATGACAGCCACTGTTCTGTCTACACTGTAAGTTCCTTGAGGGTTAAGATCATGCCTTATTTATCTCTGTATCTGGACCACTTGGCACACACTAGAGACTAAATATTTATTGAGCAGGTGAAAGAATGAATGAGGAAAACCCCATGCGTGAGCTTGGAACGTTCATCCCTTCAAGGTGGTACCTAATTTCCCTTCCCCTGCATGGGTGGTGGACTTGTCCACTTACTTCTAATTAACAGAATGACAAGTGATGCTATGTAACTTTGAGACAAGATCATAAAAAGGACAGCTGCTGCCTGGTTTGCTCACTGTCATTGCTCTGGTGGAAAGATAATTACCAAGTAGGTCAGCAGTCTTGGGAGCTACCCACCTAGAGAGGAACACAAGGCCTCTTACCAAACACCACCACAGCTGCACCAGGCATGTGAGTGCACCACCTGGCTGGCAAAGGCTCCAGCCCCCGCCCAGGCCTTCAGACAACTACAGCCCTGGCTGATATCTCAACCGCAACTTCTTTATTTATTTTTTGAGATAGAGTCTATGTCACCCTGGGTAGAGTGCTATGGAGTCACCGCTCACAGCAACCTTCAACTCTTAGGCTTAAGCAATTCTCTTGCCTCAGCCTCCCGAGTAGCTGGGACTACAGGTGCCCACCACAACGTCCAGCTATTTTTTGGTTGTAGTTGTCATTGCTGTTTGGCAGGCCTGGGCTGGGTTGGAAACTGCCAGTTCCAGTGTATGTGGCTGGCACCCTAGCAGCTGAGCTATAGGTGCCAAGCCATAACTGCGACTTCTTGAGCAACCACAAGCCAGAATCACCCAGCTAAGCCACTCCCAAATTCCTATCTAGCCCACAGAAACTGTGAGAGATAAATGTTTACTCTTGTTTTAAACCCGTATGTTTGGGAGCAATTTGTTAAGCCCCAATGGATAAATGACTGCTATGATGGGATCTGGGATCTAATTTTAAACCACAATGCCAGCCTTCACAGGACAGCAGCAAAGAGGGAGCTGAGTACCTTCCAAGTGGTTGGTGTTCTCTGTCTAGAGGGTCATATCCTTGGGTAAGGGAAGAGACAAAGCTAAAACTACTACCCGAAGGTTCTTCTTTGTGTCACCTGAATATGTAAACCCAAACCCTGCCAACCTCAGCATCTGAACCCACCACTCCTGGCCATCTCTCATCCTAACCTATCTGTGGCAGGGGTGACCCCCCAGTGCAGAATTCCCATCCACTTGCCCTCCAGCTCAACCCCACCAATAACACAGTACACTTCAACTGCAGACATAACTATCACCCCTGTGACAGGGAGGAGCCCAGTGCAAAGGGCTGGAGCGGCAGAGACTTGGGGTTTCAGACTGGCCCCACTGCTTACTTGGACAATCTAAACTCTCCAAGTAGACATTTCTTCCCAGAGCTATTGAGAGGATCAGGAGAGATTACATGTAAAGTACAGAGCGAGGGGTTGGTGCCTGTGGCTCAAGCGGCTAAGGCATCAGCCACATACACCTAAGGTGGCAGGTTCGAATCCAGCCC